GCTCCGCGCTGCTCCGCGCCGCTCCGCGCCTCCATCAGCCGCGGTAACGCCGCCTCGGGGGACCGGTACCGGAGCAAAACAAAGCCCCGGCCGGGCTGCGGGCTAATGTTTTCCCTTGCACGGAGGGTTTCCTTGGTAAAATTCAGATGTTTCCTTGGGTCTCGATTAAAATAACAAAGTGGGGTATTTACTAGGATGTTATTTCAAGTCTCTTAAGTCCCTGGTTATGTCTGTTGCGATTTCTCCGCAAATACAAAAACAAGCGCTGCGATGATTTATTTGAAGGAATGTAGGTGTTTCGCCAAAACAAACACGGCTTTTTTTCCCCTCTCCCCCACCAGCCCCCCCCAACAATCGCTTCTCACGAGCGTTTGTCACTGCAGCCTCTCACATTTCCTTCTGCTGTCATTTCACAGGTGCTTTGTCACACTGTCGCGAACGGGTTTCTCATGCCAAGCTGCGGATTTGCTCGGTACGTACGTCCGCGCGGCGCGAAGCGACGGAGGCGGCTCCGGTGACGCCATCCCAAGAAACCCCCGTCCCACGCGGCGCGGGATGGCCTGGCCCGAAGCCTCGCACGGCACCTCGCGTGGCATCCGCGCGGTTCGCGTGGGGCTCGCGCAGCCTTTGCGTCGCGCTTGCACGGCATTTGCACGGCGTTCGCACGGCTTGCACGGCGTTCGCACGGCTTGCACGGCGTTCGCTCGCTTTGTGCGTCCCCTTGCGCGGTTTCACCACCCACCCAGCAGCTGGTCGCCACTGGGAGCCCTAACCCAGCTGGGGCAGGAGGCAGCGGAAAGGCCGGCAGAGGAAGGCTTCGTTAGCTGTTTTTCTTCTGTCAGTCCCTTACTAAATCCAGCCTGATGCTGTTCAGACACCAAAAGCGACTTTAAAAAAGCATCCGACAAGACCTTCCACCCCCTGATGCCTCCATCCCCCCTGGGCAGGGTGCTGGGACCCCGGTTGGGTGCCCTCGCAGCACCGGAGCAGGCGGCAGCGGAGCTGAGTGCTCAGGGCAGCCCTTCCCGGAGATGGGAAGGCTGAAGAACACGGTCCTGCCCTGCACCTCTCAATCCCACCTCCACCGGCAGCCCCAGACCCACAAAACTGGGCTCCTGATGCCCCCGCCGCAGGGTACGGCAGCACTCCCTTCCCACTGCTGCCCAGGGAAGGGACCGAAAGGGTCAGCAGAAGGATGGAAGGATGATGTGACGAGGACTGCCGAGCTTTAGAAAATGGGCAGACAAGTCTATCCGTAAAACTCTGGGCTTCTTGCAATGGTTTCTGGAGCCTCCTGTTTCGCAGGAGTTTCACGCAGCCGGTTTCATGGGAAACAGTGAAAGGTACAAAAATGAGTGCGGGCTGTGCCCTGGGCCACCCGAGACTGCACCTCCTCCCGCGTATTGGGGTGTGTGTACCTGCCGCACGTGAGGAACCCCAGGCTCCGCTGAATTCCCAGGGACTGGAACTGCCACTGCTTTTTTTTTATGTGTATCTTTTAAAAATTAAAATTACATTGGTGCAACAGACAGCCAGGCTGTGCCCTCTGGTTTTTCTTTCCCCCCAACTTCTTCACCCCCACACCAGTCCTGTTCTCAGCCCCCAAAGTGGGCAGCAGGGCCAAATCCCAGCTTGGTGCAAGCTGGCAGAGCTGAGCAACAGGTTCCTCCGTGGCAGTTCGCACCACACCATCCTCATCCCCATGCGCAGCCGTCCCCGTGGCGGAGCCGTGTGCTGCTGGGTGATGAGAGCCAAATCCCTGTCCTCACCGTCTGTATGGAGACCCAAACACGGGCACGCACATACCCACACAACCCCGAGCGACATACACACACACGTCTGCACGCACCAGGCACACATGCCCGCACCAGCTGGCTCGCGCGTACACACACACACACACACGGGTACACAGACCCAAGAAGCAAACCCTGCCCGGCTGTGCCGGAGGAGAGACGTGAAATCCCGCAGCCCATCCTCTCAACCGCGCAGCGTTTATCGAGGTGCACCGAGTTTCCCATCTGTTCTCCATTGCAGCTTCATCTAAACCCTTTTGGGCTTTCTTGAATTTCCATCAGCCCAGCCCAGCCCAGCTGCAGGACCTTCCCAAGCCGCCCCAGCCCTGCGCAGCGGCACAGCAGCTCCTGCCCTCAGCCTTTCCCTGCTCCGAGGACAGGCTTCCTTCTCTCCCAGTGCAAACCTTTTGCGCATAATTTCACGCTGGCAAAGAGCCACCTTCTACCAGCCCCCTTCCAAAACCAAATTAGCACGCTGCTGCAGCAGCAGAAATTGGAGAGGAAAGGCTGCAGTTTTATTTTACAACTCAATTAGCAAGTTTATACAGAAAAAACACTCATATAACCAAAGGAGATTTTCTGTCCGTTCGGCTTCACCAGCAAATAGACTTGTTCCTCTTGAGGGCACTCCCCATCGCTGTGGGTACAGCGATGTGCCCCTGCCCACGGTGGCCCTCAACCAACGGAGTGACACTGGCTCTGGCCCTGCTCACTTGCTCCATCTCTCTTTGCTCTTACACTTACAGACCCTCTGGGTACCTCCAGCACGGGCTGAAAAACACAGTTCTGAGACTCTCCCGTCACCCTGTTCACTAAGTATTAAACCAGAAGTCTGCCAGAACCTAAGATGAAGAGAAAGGGCCACATTTGCCTCTAATTTTTCCCTAAGAACCTGTCCCAAATAACACGAAGCCAATGGCTGTATGCCCAGGAGGGGTCCTGACTCCCGTACCTTAACAGCTCGCACCGTGTCCCACCCTTCCTTCACCAATAGGCCCTTCTGAGCGAGTTTTTGGAAAGAAGGGGACAGTCAGCTCACTAAGCCTGTTTGTTTACTGGCAACATTTTGGGGACGCTGATTCCTCCAGGATCAGGAAGGAATCTTTCCTGCCTGGCTGACACTTGGGCTTGTCCCCTCCGTTGCAGTTTCCCTCCCTCCGCTCCCTCTCTTGGTCCCCAGCACTGCCCTGCTTGCCCTCCTGCGTTGTCCATGGCGGTTGGGGACCTTTGCGTGTGGAGCACGGCTTCATGTCCGTGCGTGAGGTTGAGTCCTGGGGAGGGTGGACTCTCCTACCACAGCTGCATCCTCTTTGCAAAACTGTGGGCAAGGTCCCAGCCCGGGACTCTTGCCTTCCAGAGAGGGACTGACCTACAGATGCTCTTCAGCAAAGGAAAGAAGGGGGTATTTGATTTAACCAGAACCCCACCAGCTGTGGAAGACCACTTCTCAAAGGAGGAAACTGAGGCAGAAAGGAAATCCTCGAGCAATAACCGTGTACCTGGTGTCATAGCCATGTTCCCACAACCCTATACCCCCACAGATGTTCTCCTTTCCTGTCATCAGCACTTTTTGATGGAATAAAAATAAACTGCAGTGACAAACCCCCTCCATGCTTCAAAACTGGAGATGTTTGTGGCTGTTTCCATTAGCTAAGCCAGTGGGCCTCAACCAAATTTGCAAGTCTTGAGCAAGTTCAGAGCAGTCAGAGTATTGATGCTAGTGGTTATTTGGAAGAATATGTTTTCATGTAGTGACCACACAAGAAGCCTCTTGTGGCTTCACTTAACAAATGCCTTCTAGAGAGATGGCTACAAGTGACGGCAAGGCCAGCTGAGCAAGTAACCAAGCAACAGCATCATTTTCTTTCCAAATCTTCCAGTAACTCCTTCCAAAACTTACTTAAACTGAAGCCAAGCTGAATTCTTCCTGATTGTCTGCACGGGGATAGCCGAGGAAGATAAGACAAATCAAGGTAAAAAGTCCATGCATGAAACATCAGATGGATTCAAAGAACCCATAGGGCTGCTTTCCTTCAGGCCCAGAGACCTTACGTCACTGCAATCTGGATGTCTAAAGCTATGCTTGTCTCCTATCACTTTCTATTTGAACACTGTACTCTAGCTAGGGGACAGGAGACTTACGGAAATGCTTTGCTAAGAGTTCAATCCTTCTGGAAACATAAAAGCTTCTTGGATTAGACTTTCCATTCCCCTCGGGGAAAATCGTCCTATTCAGCATCTGGTCAACAGGGTCTGGCATAAGCCTCCTGAAGATAGCAAGTCAAAACACTGTTGAGCGCTCAGTCAATTTAAAAAAAAAAAGACCATTTGCCTTTTGAAAGGTGCAGAATCAGCAGGTAATTTGTCAATGCATCAAGCCACAGATGCCGAATCGGGGCGGTGACTCATTCCAAGTGTCTTTACAGTGGTAGTCTAGGCTAGTGTCTGGTCGGAAGAGGTGGGATACACCTTGATTCATTTTAGCTTCTTTCTCAGTCTAACTAATCACCTTCTTCCCATTAACAGTTACTGGAGGGAGAGCCATACCTCCAGAAAGTGATTCCTCCAGCATTAACCAAAAAGCCCAGCTGAGACAGCTGTTACAGAGGTTTTGGTCTGCCCATGCAGAAAGACCTCAGCTGCCTCCCCAGCCCTGGCTGTCCATGTGAGATGTCACCAGGGGAAGTGCTCTCTCACAGCTCTCCCCAAGCTCTGCTCCTTGCTTCCTTATTTTTACATATTTCACCCTTTGACCTCTATTCAGTCCCTTTTTCTCTCATCTGTCTCCCAGATTATAGCATTTCTCCCCAACTTCTTGTCCTCCAGTTCCCAGCGCCTTTGTGAAGAAGGCTCCTCAGCCCCAGGGAAATCAGCCAGCCCCGAAGGGGAGACCTGGCTGGGAGAGTGTCTGCCAGCACGCACCCAAGGGAGCATAAGAAAGGGACCATTGCACACAGTACTTCACCCCGATCTTTCCAGTTCCCAGCTTTTCCGAGTAGACCCCTTCTCTGCCCTCTCCAGCCAGTACTGCTCATGGCTCTTGTGTCATTCTTATTTCTCTGTACCAAAACCAAGTCCTTTGCTCTCTATTCCAATGCAAAGTCTGACCAAGAACCTCAGTTCTGGCTCACTCCTGACTTTCTGGACACAGGTGTTCACTGCTATGAACATGGGCGGAAGGTGGGGGTTATTTTTTCCCCTTTAGGTTATCTTCCCATACTTTGGGATTGTTTATTCCTTGTCAGACAGCTACTTTTGCTCTGTCATTCACTTCGATGCTCTTAGTCCCATGCTTTTATTTTCTGCTGTAGACCAGCCAAATGGAGCTAAAGTCTTAAGTCCTTAAGGTCAGCCCAAGTTCTCCAGAGTGACAAGGGTCTGGCAAAGAAAAATGCTGTCCCCAAGAACTGATTCCCTCCCTTTTGGGAACATCACCTTGAGCAGGAATCAACAGGTAGATCTATCCTACCTAAGTGCAGCTAACAACACGAGGTACCTCGTTGGAGGTATCGGCTTTGGTTTCCTTGACAGTTACTCTGGGAACGCCACCGAGCCGTAGGGTCAGCTGAGCCATGCAGAGGGGCAGAGCAGACCTGCCACCCCCTCTGCTTCAGCCCCGTCCTCCTCCCTTCACTCCTCTGTGCCTGATGCTGTCCTGGGCTTCGAGGAGGAGGAGGTATGGAGGCAGGTGGGTCCAAAGTCCTGTTTGATTGCAGCTTTGCATGGCCTGGATCACTTTTCTCAAAGACTATGTCTCGCTGACCTTCTTGCCAGGGCAGTATGTCCTTCCACGATGGAGGGGA